TTTCATTAATAAGTCCAATATTAAGAAACTATCTATCAATCCTCCACTAGTTTGAAAGGTTGTTTGTTTTCTATATATATAATATATATTTATTCTTGCTTTTCAAACAAATGAATATTAGACATACAAAAAGGTATCTTTTGATTTGAACCATCAATTAGCGAATGCATCTTAGAATCCTAATGAAGTAAATAGTATTCACAGATGGAACCTCGACTTCTAGCATTAGAATTGAAAATACATCGCTCATATCATTCATTTATATTTCTGTAAATGGTCGTTCACTTTTAGCGTCATAATTCCAAATTCTTCTTGTTAAAGCGACATCACTTTTTATGTTTATGTGAGTGGAGTTTTTATTGATGTCAGCATTGGCCTAGACATTTTTTTTTTCATAATATAATATTCAAATTCCATTAAGAGTATAAACTTAACCTCTATTAGCAATGGACTACACTAGTTTCAAACAAAATTTTGAGAATTGGATTCTAATAGTGCATTATAGACACATAACAATAAATTGTTTTTACCCATTAAACTCTGTAATTAGAGGTTATTAATTAAAAGTTGGATTCCCACTATCGGTATCTAATAAAAGTTTTAAACCCATTCTTTTTGTAGTACTACTTACCAATCCTTTGGTAAACCTTTTATTAGAGGATCTACCCAATTACTTACAGATTTAATATAATAAATTCAACATTAATAAACTATCTAACAGGATCTTGCTAGGTCAAGAGTATAAAGTTTTGTGATCAGTTTAGCTAAAGTTCTTTTGCTGATTATAGACCCATTTTTTTTCTTTTTCCGAAAGATAAAATTTATAAGTTAATGAAGGATCACAATACAAAAAACCCAGCCAAGTGTTTTTCCATAAAGAAAAGTGCTTGTCATGTACTGGCCTTAATTTTGGAAGAGCCAAACATGCCTGGCAAGAAGAATTGGTTAGCTAAATAGTGAACAAAGCACTTGATACTAGTAAAACACAAAGATTAAGCTATAGACACGAACACGAATTGAAGAATGTGGAGAGTTATATTTTATGGAAGAGAGACACAGCAGGTTCTCAAAGCAATGGAAGAAGAGGACTACCTGCGGCTCCTACTCATCCTCTTCCTTCATCAAAACGCTCCAGGGTGAATATTGGCCTTGGAGCAATGTCTGGAAATTGTCATGGTTGGGACATGCTCCCCAAAAGGTTGAAGTCCTTAATGGGAAAGTGGCAGTTAAATCTTGGAATTAGAGACATTTGAATTCCTATTTGACATGGAGAGAAATCTGAACTTTTTTATCTTACAACTACAATTAGGAACACTTAGACTCGAACCTAGGATTTCCAAACCCACGACACCATTACAGATGGATAAATAGCTACATGATCACCTTGATAAAACAGCTAATGTTGGACGTTTGGTAGCTTATCATCAAACATTCAACGACGAAGATTTTCTCTGAAGCTCAAAAAGGCGCTGCTGCGACATCAATTTTGGTCACAAGTCCGCAGATGGGTTTAAGTTGAAAAGGAACACGCAAGGTTGTCTAGGAAAATAATAGGCCAGCGATTGTCACCACCAGGCTCAATGAAAACCTTGCAACAAGCAGGTCCAACATCATTAAACTTGTTTTCGGAAATGGCCTTCTCTATTGCCTCAATGCCACCTTCCACACTTGTCAAATATGGAAAGCACTCAGCAACATCTGTTGTTGTCTCCGCCAGCCACAATGGTGCATGTGATTGAAGGATTCGGATGCCATTGCCATGGGGATAAAGGAAAGGAAAGTCTAATATGCTTGTATGCTAATATTTACTTGAATTTCTTTTTTTTTTTAATTTGCTGGTGAAATGTGATCCAAGAGGTCAGTGGATTTTTTTTTTGAAAGGTAGTGGTTTATAACATGATTAAAATCTGTACATCAACACCGGGGTGGTACTAGAGGTGAGTGGATTTATAGTGCAATAAACACGATTAGTGACAAAAACACGATTTTTCAAAATATTAATTTTGATAAACATTGGTGACAAAAACATAATTTTTCAAAATTTGATGATCTAAACAAAAATTTTAAAAAAGTTTAATGATCAACTGATAATTGTACAGACTTTTTTTGTTCGAATCAGGTAATTTATGCCATTAAAAGTCTCGTACCGCTTAAGCTAGAGATTTGTACTGGCATGCTAATTGGGGAGGTTAATAAATTTGTTTTTGAAAAAAAAAATAATTAGATTCCTGATGATGTAGATTTCTTAATTATTTGGAAGATTTTTTTTCCTTTTTGACCAATTATTATATTAGTTTTCATTGTTTCACAAGAAATTGGAAATGTAAGGGGAAGGTATATAGGTAAAAGGATTGATAAGGTTTAATGAGATAGCTAGTTGGGGAATTAGGTTTCTTATATCATTGTAAATTATAGCTTTTGAAAAATACTCAAATTTAAAATGAAGGGTGTAATTTTTTTTCTTAAATTACTATAAATTATAATCTTTAAAAAATATTTAGACAAAAAAAAGATTTTTTTTTCTTGAAATTCCTTTTATCCATCCGAACTCCCAAGGCCCAAAAGGATTTCCTCTTATTCAGAAATCCAAAATTACTTTTTCTTTTTCAAAAACCCAAAATCCATTAAACCTAACACAAATTCAAGATATCCAGATATCCACTACTTCATTTTAAAATGATTGTATAAATTTTAATAGCCTTAAATTAAGTAAGAAGATAAATAAAAATTAATTAAAATCCTTTTATCTATCAATTTCCAACACAAAATTCATCAATTAAATGGTCACAAGTCACAACCAATGGCAGCTTCCTCTATCAAGAAGGAAACTAGATGCCCTCTACAACACCCTTACAAACCTTAAATTCCAATATATATTCCATGTTAAAAAAAATTCATGAAAAATAAATTTTGAATATAGAAATTGGGGAATTTTTCTATTAGGAAATGACTTTTGTCTTAAAGTGATGGTGAGGTAGCAAGCAAGCCACTTATTGTAATATAAAGAAGAAAAAAAAAACAGAAAGGAAAGAATCCATAATAGAGACAGGAGGAGGAGCTTCAAACTTACTGAAAACCCAAAGAAAGAGCCAAAGAGATACTGTTTGTAAACAAAATTGATTGGGTGGCTGAATCTATCACTTTCATGGAAAATTAAAAGTAAAAGAATATTCATTATATGTAGGAAGGGGTGTTCACTATACATTTCATTATTATTTCTCCTAAAGCTCCAATTATAACCAAAGTGGACTCATGCACCTCTAATCATTTCCCTTTGAAAAGAAAAATAAAAATGATGACAAAAAGAAAAGATACCCAAAAACACAAAACAAATAAAAAAAAGTAAGTGCAGCTTTCATTATATTAGGTCATATAGATAGAAATAGGACATTAATTAATCCCCTCTGGTTTTTATTTTTTTTTACTTTTCAGTATTATCTGTCATTATATTTATATATAATATATGCAAGATTCAATTATGAATTATAAATTTTATATATAAATAGCAATTAAAAATTTACTGAAAAATAATCAACCGAAAAATAATACAAAGTAGCCGGAATTGCAAAAATTTTGTTTGATTTGTCCCATTAAGTATATTTTTCTTTGACAACCTACACGAAGAGATAAATATTTATCTAACAATATATATATATATATTGATTCTAATATAGAGAAAATATTAAAATGGGTTTTTTATAGTAAAAAATAAATATTTTAGAAAAAAAATCATAATATATAATAACTATATATAAAAGTAGTCTATTTTAATACTGTTACAATTCAATGTGCAATTGAGTGACAAATGTCATAATTCAATTAGAGTCTCTAAGTTATAGAAAGCACGTAACAATTTTGAACAAATAAAAAATGGGGCCTACTATATTTTTGACCAGTAAGGGGAATAACTTATATTACTGAGTTATGAGAAAAAGGGCCCAATATCAATTACGAGAAAGCTTTGGCAGGTACAATGGCTTTGTCAGAGTGATTGAATCCAAGCTTAAAGGGAGAATTTAAAATCCCTGTATCATGACAAACAACACAGTACTGAATTTTTTCTTGTTTCTCTGTGCTCTATTGGCAGTTCACCTGTCCTGCCTTCATTTCATATCTAATCAAATTCTATCACAATCATGTTAGTTCCAATAATTCTCAATTGCAAAGTCAGTTCTACTTTCCAACTTCCTTCCAAACGTTTCTTTTGTTCCTAAACAAGTCACCATGTCTTGTTTATTTATACAAAACTTAGAAGTCAGATCAGGGGTTTTGCTAGCATTGCTTTTAAGCTAAGTACACATGAAACCAAGCCCCCAAATCAAAGGATCGGGCTCATTGCCATTTGTCTAGGCTAAGCACAAAGGCTAACTAGGATTTAATTATCATATCTTAGTTTTGAGCTGTAATACTATATTTACAGGGAAGGTGGGCAAACTAAATCATTTCCCAAAAATGGATGAAAGAAACAGAAAAGTCTGACTCATACTTGATACAGAACAGGCAACACAATTTCTTTGCTGATTCTTCCAATTATGGAGCTCTTCCCTTGTATGAAAATCACTCAATGGATATCATTGCAGAAAACGTTGCCAAATTTTTATTATGATTAACTTGGGAAGGAACAGCTAGCAAAGTTTCCTTCATTATTGCAACATTCAATGGTTGTCTCCTACCTTTAACTTACCCCTTTTTTTCCTAAAGAAAAAGAAATTTTCCTGATATGTAGATGCTGATATATGTGAATTCTGTTACTTATCATTATGTTCTGTACTTAAAGGGAAAGCTGTCACCAGGCCTCCTTTTCTTTTCACTTTAACTAGCTGGCATAGATTAGGATTTGCCAACACTACATCACATTTTTACAACATTCATGAACACATAAAAATAAAACAAAAGCATTGTAAGCACTTTTCATATATCAATGAAAAGAACTTCCGCAATGTTTAACTGTTTCCATTCTCCATTTCTGCAAATCAGTTCTACCTGGAGGTTGGATTGAAGAAATAATTTTAACAATTGCAACTGGTTATATTCAAGATCCTTCATTCAATCATGCAGAATAGAGTGAAGTGGAGTTTAGGCCACAAGATTTCGGAAGAAAAACAAATCTACAGAGAGAAATCTAGGATAGGACACCTTGTAAGGATATGGATTCTGCAAATGTAAGAATCTGATCAGTCCATATTTATATATCTGAGATCTCTACTGTGGTGTGTCTAATATGTTACAGAGGAATAAAAAATTGAAAACCTGGTTTTTATGCACAGAAAAATTGAGTTTTCAATTGGGGAGGATAGAATTTCTATCCTTTTCATACCTTGAGAACCTAAATCTTCCTGTGGAAATGGATCTCTTCATTGCTAGAGGACTTCTGACCAGATTGAGAACCCCATTTCTGCAATTTGACTTGCAATATTCTCCATCAAATTGTTTTGAGGATCCAATTCCCAATGATGATTGGAAATGATGTTCCGTTTGGAGATCCTCATCTTCTTCACTAATGCGTAATATATCAGCAACAGAGAAAACTTGGCCTTGACAAAGAGAAGAACTCATTGAAACCGACCTTCTCAATGGTTGGATTCCATTCCCATCCTGTCCAATTCCTATCATGCCGCTACTTTCTTTCACATTCCCCATATCCCAAACATCATCACTAACAACAAGGGTAATGACAGCCTCTTCTCTAACACCCGTTTCCAAATCCTGGATCACTGAAATCGCATCATTTCTTTGCTGGTATTCAAATGCAGATACAGTACTAACATTCCGGGGAGCTTCCTGGATTGTGGCAGCCGCCGCCGCCGCCTCTTGAATAGGCAAAGAATTGGTGGATGCAATATTGGCACGGCAAAGGGGACAACTAGAGTGAGACTTTAACCAAGCATCAATACAAGGGACATGAAAAGCATGGTTACACTTTGGCAACAGTCTCAAATTTTCATCTTCTTGAAACTCACTTAAACAAACCGAACAATCTGTTCCTTCAATCAAACCATCACCTTTCTTATACTTACAAACTGTTATAGACTTTATCAGACCTTCATCTAACCCTTCTGAACCAGCTTGCCAACCATCATGATTCAATTCATCCCTGCTTTCATTCAACTGTAACCTTGTATGATCCTGCCTACGCCGTCTACAATACTTGGAGATGATAGTATAGTAACTTACCAAGATAAATACACTTGCCAGGATGCCAATAACTGCTATAATCAGAGGTGAGAAATCTGTTCCAGAATCATCATCATCGTCATTAATGCTAAAAGGAGGAGGAGGTGGGAAAATAAGATAACACCATTGCGGGCAATATATGCTACAAAGTCCTTGTGAGCAATCTTTAAAAGTATCATAGGGTGTCCAAGGATTTGGGGTGCTAGCTGAAGAACTCATATTCAGTCTCTGGAACAAGTTTGTTTTATGTTAAGTTTGTATTTAAAAGAAGAAAAAAGAAAATAAAAAAGAATGGAAAGAGAAAGACAGAGGTGGAGGGGGGCTTAGAGGGGAAGGGAAGGAAAGTAGAGGAAATGGGAAGTTGATGTGTCCATCTCCTTATCTTCCACTTTATTCTCATGGCTTTGGCTTTGAGTCTTTTCATTTTTAGTGTTTTTTTTTGCCTTTTTGGGTTTTCGTATTTAATTATTTTTCAATGGGGATTGATGGGTTGTTTACTTAATAGCTGTGCTTTTCTTGGATCACAGAGCCTCGTTGAATCAATTGCCTTGAGTATCGTCTAAGCTTGTCAATATTGGTTGGTAAAGCGTAGGTGAGTGGACTCTTTTATATATCCCTGTACGACCATATCACATTACCACCAAACCAGCACAACCAACGGTATTTCGCCACGTTTCCCAAAATATGTGCTAAGTATAGTCACGTGCTATCATGTGAGTCGTCTGACATGGAAAGATCCCCTATGGGTGTAAATATATTGCATAAAAGTAGGTCAGGCCATTTTGGTAGATGGATGGTGGCTAATAAGAAGATAAACTAGATTGGCGGCAGGTGTTTTCAAGCCAGAGAAAATGGCAACAAGAGTGGTGGGGTTTTGGCATCCATCTTAACAACTCCCGTTTGACATGGCGATTCCTAATCCCATTCAAAGGACCATTACTCCTGAATCTTATGATGATGTGCATGTTATTTGGTGCCATACCTCTTTCCTATCTTGACTAGTCCTTGTCGTGGCATTCCATTTGCATGCCTTGATTATATTTGACAAGAACTCATTAACAGAATCCATTATCTATAATCCGTACATAAAAACAGGGATTAAGGGAGAGTCCGAGAAAAGCTGTGCATACCGTGCACACGCTAGGCAAATAAAATTAGTCCAAGACTTCATGACCCATATGCAGTCACATGGCAGTCCCACCTCCCAACTTAGATTGGTGTTGCAAAAAGTGCAACCCTCTTTGGGTTGACTTTCGATGGGTTACATTGCCCTACCCATGATAGGATTTGGGTTTGGGCAAAGATTATCCTATCCATAATACTTCAGCATTATTATAGATAGCATCTCGTTGATTAATCCACAACAAAGCTGATAAAGCTTGCAAACTTGTTCAACTGAGATAGTACCTCTTGAGGAAATTGGGCATTCAGCTTCAATAGCAGCTGCTCTGCATATCCATCTTCTGGTGCAGCCAAGTCCAGAGTTTTTATGAACAAGGGCTAAAATAGTTTTATAATTATATGGAACTAACAATAGATAGATGTGATGGATTAAGTAATATAATTTAAAATACAACTGAGGAAGAAGATTACAGAAATGTTCTTTCATTATTGTTCAAAACTAAAAGATACAGACATTGATGTGTTTATTTTCCTCTCAATTTCTTAAAAAAATATTGAATATTCACTATTAAGGTTAAAGCTATACTCAATAAGTAAGGCCTATGCTCTTCCTTTTCTCTTGTCATCCAAGGCCTGCTCCAAAAACATATATATAATAAAATAAAAAAGGGGTTAAAAATAAGTACATGCACAGGCATTGAACAAATAATACTAGTTTCCCCTAAAATTCTAACAATATATTACTGCAAAGAAGAGCATGATTAATACATCTTCTCCTACTTGTATTGGTATCCAATCTATTGGGATTTTCCTTTATGTCCAATTACAGATAAAACTGGCATATAAGCATCATCGTATTTTATTATCCTTTGGATGTCTAAATATGATTCTCACTTCATCAATTCATCCTGATAACTATGACAGAGCACAAACTTGTTTGATCCTCCAAAATCTTAACCTCGTCCTGATAGCTACTCCACAATCACATTGTATTGATAGCATTCGTTATGGTTCCATTCATTTCATGATTTGTTGAAATATCAAGTACAAAGACATGACTCATTCATTTGTTCCTCTTGTTTTTTAAGTGAAAAATCAAAAGACGACATAAGACTGCACTTGAAATTGGACTAAAATTCCACCTTTACAGGGGTAGTTAACCTATGATAATCAATAACCATTGTTTCTATTATCTTCTCATTATTTATCTCCACTAATTCAATTTTTGCATTCTTACCCTATAGAAGTGAAGTGTTCTATGTGGTAATATAATCATGTATAAGATGACTTATTGATATCCTTGCAACAGAAATTAAATTTGTTGACTAAGATGAGCTAGAGATTTCAATTGTTCAAAAGTATACAATGTAGGTTCTCTCTAGAAACAACTACCAGCATCTCCACTGCCACTACAACAAAAACCATATGCATAGATTTGGAACACTCTAAAGCAAATTTTGATGAGAAAGGTACCTTGCTCTGGAACAATCTCATTGTCAAAACAAGAGTATCCCGCATTCTATAAAAAACATGAATACTGTTGTATTAGAAAAAATTATGTTAAACAAAATAAGTTAGTCTAATTATAATACTTTTTTATTTTTTATACATAAATTATGCAAATTAAAATTTTACAATAAAAAAACAAAAATAATAGCATTAGACACCCAAACCTTGCACACTAATTGAATTTGTATTAAACAGCACAAGTATACCACATGGCAAAAGATAGACTTTATCATCATTTTAAATTGGTGGGTTTATCTACACACTCCGGAAAAGAAATTCCATCAGCAACACCTTCCCTCCTGCCCCCGCCCCCGCCCCCCTCTCTCTCTCTCCCCATTCCCCCGGTTTATCTTTTAATATGAAGCTAGAGCTCTTGAGTTGAAACCAAACAGTTTCTATCACATATAATCCAACTCTATTTAGTAATATTGTTCTTTTGCACAATTTTATGTTAGCAAAATCAGGAATAAATATGAGGCAAAGTCAATATTAGTCTTATGAACATGCTTAGTGATAAGCACAATATAACAACAATTAAATAGGAAATATAAAAAACTGACAGGATTAATTTTAAAGAAGAAGAATATCAAGCATTAAAGCAATATATTACCGAACACTATATGTGCTAAAGGGACGCGAAGACCCATCAAAACATGTCAAAACAAATTGTGTTGAGAGCCCACTAGGTACTTTAATCTGCAACATCACAAAAGTTAAAAATGCACGTATATGTTATGTCCAAAAGTCAACCAATCTGGCACAAATTTCATATTCATTTTTTACATAACCGTGCAAAATATACAGCTTTCAAGGCTATGTATGAAAGGCATAGAATAGCCAACTGTGTGTAGTCCAAAATTCCCATATGATATACGCTTACAGCAAATTATAAGACACCCTCCCCAGTTTTCTAACTTAAATTCTTTTTTGCCCTATATTGTTTGAAAAGGTGAAGTTCCCGCATTCCCATTGATTATGCATTATCATACAGGCTATAATTCAGACTCAAAAATTATTTGTATTAACTCTTTCAGAGTAATGATAATTTCATGATAGCCTATGGCATAAATGATGTCAGTGGTAATTATGTTGCCACTAAGAAATCATAGGAAGTGGAATATACCTAATCAATAAAATCTTTTACGTCTGCCTGATATAAAAGTAAATTATAGAGTCCATATAATATTAACTTACAGCATATAGACCATGGTCAGAGAAGTAGACTTACATGAGTAGCACAGAATTGATGCATGCAAGAAATAAAAATATGAATTCTACTCAGGTCACCTAAACCTTAGTAACAAACTATTTATGAATAAGATGAAATAATAAATTAAAAAATGTCTAACTTTTGAACACAGTGAACTTGAATTTAAAAAGCATTTGATACAACCTTCAAACAAAAAAAAAAAAAGAGAATTTAAAAAGGATACCGATAATTCCTTTGAATATTTCTCAGAAATTTCCACATATTCTGTGCTATTGATCTTGATTTGGTAACTTGACCGTCTCAAAGTCAGAGTTGCTGGCTCCCAATTCTCAGAAGAATCCATCTGTTGAGAAAAGACAGGGATAATATGGTGATATTTATTCTCTCGGTAGCTCTGTTCCACACAAAAATAGATACATAAACACAAAAGTTAACAATTTGCCAACAAACATTTCCTTTAAGGTGCCCGGTCAACATTTATTCATAAATTTATCAAAACCATTTATCAACATGCTTCTCCTATACCTTACCATTCGAGATAAAAAAAAAACACCCTTCTCAACCATCCTACCCACCCACAACACCCAAGAACAGGGAATCGACTTTTGTTCTCTCATATCGGTCACCAAAACAGCATATAACTCCTGGAATCAAGTAGGATTAGATGAATAGCAAAGAGCCAAGGCACTAGAAATAGAAAAACACTTCTCACTGCATTTCAAGTTGCTACTTGTTAACCTTTTTTGATCTGAAATCATTTCGTAGACTAGGTATGAAAAGTTAAGTAGTATTATTTGTACAAGAAATCATCATCTATAAACAGAAAAGTTTTTTTTTTTCTTTTGTCTTCTAATTGGCAACAGTCATAAGATTACTTTCACTAGACTTTTTATTTAGGCAACAATTTGAGAACTTGAAAAATGGATCTCTAAACCAACCAATTCCATGTCAAAACTACATCCCTAAACCTACTGAAGTCTTCGGCCAAAAAAAAACAAAACCTACTAAAGTCAAGCACTATTTAGAACAAATTCTCCCTTAAAAATATCATGCCATGTTCCAGATGGCATTAGAAATTGCCACCCTGTGTGACATACATGAAGTTGCACAGAGATCTACTTAAGCAAGATTCTCCAGAATGCAGATAGCAACTTTGACTTATTTGTGGTGCTCCAAAATAAGTAGAAGATAATGATCATCATAACATGGGATGGAGACAGTTTTTAAAAGGTCTTATTTTTTGAGAAGTAGGTGACCTGCAATTACAGGTTCTGTTCTAGTTTCATTAGAACTACTCCATTCTAATTTATGAGCAAAGCCTGAAAACTGGAAACCTTAAAATTTAAAGCAAAACTACATAGAAGATTTACTTTCACAATAATATAGAACATCATATCATGTCACTTACAAATTCTCCCATGTTTTTAGGGTGGTAGAGACAGCATAAGATTATTTTATCAGATCCTAGACTCAATTCAATAGCACCTTTCTGGTTTCAGAAGATAACAAAGAAGGGAAAAGGCAGCGTTTAACAAAAAGAAAGGATGCCAAATTACCACTGGTTACATGTGTATATAGGACGAACATCATTGCTTTAACATTCTATAAAACACCCTTGTGATGGACAAGAATAACAGTTTCTGTTCTAACGGGTGATGATACTGTCCATTCCTCGAATAATTGTTCCTTTGAATGGTACACAAACTTAGATATCAACAAGTTGTTCACTTCAGCCACATATTGATGCAGCAGTACATGATTTCATAATCTTATAAGGCATCAATTTCATTAACAAAGTAGAGATATGTTGTGTTCGATAAACCTTCTAGATCATAATGTAACAGATATTTTGCTAACTTGGGCCCCCAATCCATTACATGAACCGCTAACTGCCAGTGTTGGCAGCACACTAACTATGCAAAATACTAACCCACTGTACTAGATGTTTCCAAAGTGGTATACCTTGTTCAACTTAAATTTTCATCTCAGCATCATTAACTTCCCAAGTAAACAAGGATTCTACCTGAACTGTTGGTCAGCAAAGTACAAAGACCTCCTTTGCTTTTCAACTGGACCACACAAGCAATCAGCAGTCAGCATTGACCATCATTTTCTTGTGAGGTTCATCTCTTCCTTCTCCAAAAAGCATGTACAAGGCTACTTAAAACAATTTTTTCCAACTTCTTGCCTTGATACTCTTTCTGTTCTTAGGGGTAGTGGTTTCAGAAGCGTGCAACTCATGAATGACTGAGATGGATGAGGGCTTGGCGCTAAATGAACTTTTATGATATTGCCTCCATCGGATCATTGCAATGAATCTCAATTTTCCAGGGATTTAAAGTATGAATTGACCATAATTCTCTCCTCTTAGATTGACAAAGCAGCAAAACTGGTCAACCAACGGCCAACCCATTTATTTGAATTCACCAAGCACAGCTTTTCCCATAAACTAGATACTATAAGGTATAGTTATTAAAAATATATAAAGAGAGAAGTGACCATCGAGGAGAATAAAATTCTATATAACTTTGGAAGAACAATCATTACACCTACCAGTAACAGAACACTAAATGCTGCTTGGCCTCTAGAAATGTACGTGTCAATCTCATTTTGCATTTCTGGGTCTGCAAAGCAACTCATTAGAAATCTATGGAAATAATAAAAGTAATGCCACATAAAAGAAAAGAACATGCTATATATAGATGTATCGACATATATGAGCATACACTATATTCACAACCATTCAAACAAAACATTCTTTTCATATGCATAAAGGAATCACAAACAGAATTTTCTATTACTAATACAGGAAAGGAAACCAAGTGATCTGTTGCAAAATTTAATTTACATTAAATGTTAGGGTAAAATGCCCCCACCCCTTAAGTTTTAATCGAAATGCCAAACGGGTCCACTAGTTTTGGAAATGGACACTCCGCCCTAAAAAAATATCTTCCACTGGACACATAGGTCTAGCCGTAGTCAACCGTTTATATGTCCGTTAGTTTGGTGACATGGCAATATTAAAATGATAATTTTACCCTTTATTAATTTTAAAAATTACTATTATATAATTTTTCTTAATTTAAAAAAAATAGGAGAGCACCGATCGGTGCTCCCCTCTCTTGGATCGATGCTCCCTATTATTTTTTTTCAAAAAAATATAATAATAATTTTTTAAATTAATAAAGAAAAATAGGCATTTTAGTCCTTTCATAATCTCTGTTAACGGTATTTACACATTTAGGGCAGAGTGTCCATTTCGAAAACTAATAGACCCGCTTGGAATTTCGATTAAAACTAGGGATGTGGGAGTATTTTACCTTAAATGTTAATTACTAGGCAACAAAAAGACAATGGTCTGACCAAGACTCTGTGGAAATTCAAAACCTAATAGCATCATGGGAAATGAAAGGAACATATCCAATATATCCAATATATAATAGAGGAATCTTGATCATGGAAGACCTACAATATTGTATAGAGAATATGCATGTACAGAAAGAGGGAGAGAGAAAAGTACCATCAATGAACAAGTTCAAACCTTTGTTAAAGGTGTGGGAAAGATGAATTCCAAATTTTAAATCACATTTTCAAAGTAGCAAAGACTTATAATGCTGAAATTCAAGCATATGACAACAAAATTATGATCCTGTATCATTCAAACAGATGACTTAAGGCTTGCCAAACAACACAAATAAATAAATTTATCACACACAAAGAATAAAAGAAAATGAATGAAATACACTCAATATTACTTCTAGTTAAGTTGCAATGACCATAAGTTCTGACAAATCCGCTCACATGCACTTACCACATTTTATTTTGTTCTGATCATTAGCAAAAAGCCTCACTAGTTCCCCCTGACAACAGTAAACAATTTAACAAAAGTATAAATCCAGGAGACAATATTGTTCTCAACTAAAATTTGCTTAGTTGAAGCAAGTTGCAAGAGAATTTTATGCATTATTAGTGTGGAATACTCTGTTTCCACTGAAAAGGGACATTATTTACAAGGGAAGTGAAAATGCAGCCACAGCAAGCACAAAGTATCTACCATCATACTGAACAATTTCAAATCACATGCAGTATACTACTCAAATCCTTATCAAGTCTAAGTGCAATGCAAGACTAGTATGCTAAAAGCTATCAGTAACTTATACGAAATACTGTTTTCATATCAGATTTTGGTGATCTTTAGAAAAATCAATCAGATTCTATCTGATAACAGATTGCCTGAGTGAGTTCTTCGTACCAATGAAAACAGTATGCATAAGCTTTCGCTGCAGGGAAACTTATTGGAATGACATAAACAATGACTGTTACATGTATATACCTGATGGCCTTGGTCATCCATCGGTATGCACTCAACAGCAATCAGTTTATCAACATCATCAGCTGTAACCACATATTCTGGATTTGTAGCTCCTGAATAAAAATTTTTTCAGCAAAAAGTAAGTTATAAAAAAGACCGACACAATGAACACTAAAAGAAGGTCAACAGTCATTCTATGCTTACCCTCAATGTACTGCCTAGTGCCATCCTGAAGATGACGAACCCACTACAGTGCAACAAACATTGTTAACATATGGAAGATTAGTCCATATGTTTAAAAGGAAAACTTCACAAATAACAATGTCAATATCAATACGATCCAAGAAATTTCACCTGAAACATACAAAGTGTAGTCCCTCGTACAGGATATCCACATCCTAAAAGCTTTCCTCCTGGTGTAGCATCACCAATTATCTGAAACCCCTCAATGCCAGGGCCTTCTGAATTCCAATAAGTTATATTAGCTACTATTAAATATCATAAACTTATTTCACACATTAAATATCAATCACCTTCAGGCTATTCAAAAAACAAAATCACCTTCAGAACCATAGGAGTCCATCTCATCATGATGAGAAAAGATATTGTTGGTCATATCCTCTGCTCCAGTTCTTACAGCACCTTTATCAAATGCACTATCAGGATTAGGGCCAGCACCACCTCTGTAAGAATATGATTAACGGCTAAGAATGAAATAGAACCATGATAAAATTTGATCCTATTACTATCAAATCAAAGCAATGTTTTAGCACTAAATGAACAAGTCACACTGTATTATATACATCAACTTCCTTTGATAACAAATAAAATAATCATCATAAAAAATTTAAACTGCATTTGAATAAGGAAGAAAATATCGACATGTGGGATACATTTCCCATTGCAATCAAATTTCAAGACCAATTTCATACAGCAATATCAATGATGTTCATCTCAGGGCATAAAAATGAAAAAACGCAAAGGAGATAGGGTCAAAAATATAGAAGTGCAGATCGAAGAGGATTCCATTAACCCACCACAGCTATGTGCAAGAAAAACAATGTACAAAAATATGTTCACTACAAGAATTCAGGGTTTTGGAGAAAATGTGCTCATCATTATCATATATCACCAATTTTAATAATAGGGAAAACTATTGGATTATATCTCTTGCAATTTATAACCCTTGTAGCAAGGAAAATATAGTGGCAGAATTGTGCCCAAAAGAAAACCCAGAGATATGTTTCATCACATCTCAAGAATCTTCACAAACTGCCAGTTAATAATGTGATAAAGAAAAGAAGAACAGCTACAACAAGACTAGATGAATGATGCAAACCTGTCAGAACTGAACAAGAACTCCTGTGAATTGCCATTGCTCAACTGTTGTTGTCCTTGATCATTAAACATTAAATTTTTTGCAGTGTGATCATTATCAGGCATATATCTCAGCATATTGTCAGGTGGCATAAGATGCTGCTCATCTGTGTAGTGGTTATTAGAAGAAAAGCCATGACTAGCCTGAGAGAGTTAGAGAGACAAATAAAGGACTACTTAATACAAAGTGGAAAGGAATGCAATAGAAAGAGAATGCAAGTTGATATGATAAACAAGCAACAGGAAAAGATGGAAACTAGTAGATTACATGCAAATAGTACCGTGGATCTATGAGGAATTTGATTGTTCAAAATGCCAGAAATAGGGCTATCATTTTCATGAGATCTGCCTCCAGTATGAGTGCCCGCTATACCTGTCAACTCTCTAATTCTATCCTGTGATATAAATAAATATTTGAGTCTATCATAGTTCCAAAATAATGACTTCAAAATAATCTTGACACAGGTTAAACTCACTGCAAAAAGAAACACCTTGATCTTATAAGTTGACTTAAGGTTAAAATAGTAAAATGGAATGCCTCATTAAAGCAAAATTTTGATGTAAGAAACATATAATCATGTAAAGAGCTGATGCCTGCATACAAACATACATCCGCATGTAGCCACATCAACAAATCCCATGCATCTGCATTTACATGTGCATGCAAAGCAGTGGACTACTGGTATTCAAGACTACAGAGTGAAGGACAATAAAAAGAAAAACAAATTGGCCTAATGAATACATGTAAGAGAACCTTGTGTTCCTGGTAAGTGCCCTTCAAGTGAAAGTTGAATTTAAAAAAATAACTAAATATTTGATTTAGTCCATGTAAATGGACAAGAGTTAAATTTACGCTTACTTGAATTTCATAGTTAAATTTAGATCAACACAAAAAGCTAGCCTATTGTCAAACAAAACTTGAATTTCATAGTCCAAGTTATTTGATATTGTATATTCTTAAACAGATACAAAATGTTATTCCAAGCAGAAAGCATGATCCTTGGATGTGCCATTCAAAGAGAATCTTCTTCAATCAAAAAAGGAAATCCATTATGCATCAACAGCCTTTTATTCTCCTTGGCATGTATTGTTTTGGCATAAAGTACAAATCATGTAAGTTCTTGAAGACAAACCATTTGAGAAGGCTCAGTTATCCGAACTACTTCTGTACCATGCTTTAAAATTTGACAATGGCGGAATTAACACTTAAAAGTATGATCCCCGTAGTATGATTTCATTTTATAAAACATTCTTCTTATGTTCCACCACTGGTGCGGATGGGGAACATACAGTTAAAGAATATATTTACCAGTGGAAGTTGGCATCCAACTACAACTGGAATTCTGCCAATCTAACTAAATAAGACTGTAAGACTATGGCCACAAGTAATATTATTGGTTTACCATCCACAACTTTAAATTTGTCTGCCCAGGTCCTTTCATTTTGGCCATTGCTATTTTCTAAATGAAGTTTCCCTTCTGTAAATATATGGTATTTGAGCGGCACACTTACATGTGAGGTTCTGATCTTCCACTGTAACTGATCATGTAGGTGCTGCAAATATGCATAAGACAGTTTAATTTGTCAGTAGAACACAAGCTGCTGAATAAAGCACAGTTCTGAATGGTGTTATGGAACAAAAAAAGTCCTCAATGGACTGGAAAAATTACAAAAATAGTATTTATGCATAAATCAGTGTTACTGTAACCCACTCGCCAAAATCCCCCCTGCCCATTTGTCAAACAAATAGAACCTGCATGCTATCAAGTTCATACCTTCACACTGTTGGTAATGGCAGACGCACTTACAACAGGGGGCAAAATACCATATTCAGCCAACAGCCCGAGCATGGACGACATGAAGATATATCTCTCATCCTCTGCAACCTGAGGAAAAGCAATGCCCTTAACAACTGTAGTTTATAAGCAAAGGGATAAAGGGAACGAGCAAGGAACATTGCAGGATACACACACCCATACAACAGCATACTAAATAATTAAGAATATCACTTGGCACTAAGAAAAATGACAAAATCAATTTAAATATCTAGTGTCTTCCAAGATTTCCTCCGTACATATGGTACTAAAACCTTTTACACATTTAAGAAAAATATAAAATCACCCAGCTGGTGATAACTCTATTATATAGAGTTATCTTATGCATCTTTGGATCTTGAATTGAGCTAAGTCCTCTAGTTTTTAAGTAACTCAAAGCCAATTTTTATGCTTTTTAGTAGTAGTTTAATTTATGTGGTAATATTTTTTTATTTATGCAAATTTTAGCTTAAATTCTTGTTAAAATTCCTAATTTCAGCCTCTAATTATTTAATCCTCTGATATTGAAGGAGGTACAAGGACTGGGAACCTAAATGCAAAGGATGGTGCAGGTGGGCTTAAAAAGGTCTCTGAACATGCTGCGATGTTTTGAGCGCAACGCAAGCTACAGAAGTCCAATCAAAGTGATTCTTGGATCGTTGGAAAGTCGAGAGGAAGGGCTACGACTTTGTTTTTCAGCATTTCACCCAGTTTGGAAGGGATCATTGTAAAAAATGCATCTGAAGAGAAAAGACTGCAGCAGACTGCACTATCCAAGTCAGAAGGTTTCTCACAGCAGCGAGAAAGATGTGATTTACAGCTCCAAGTCAGAAAGTTTCTCACTGCAGCGAGATTTCCAACAATCTAAATCAGCAAGTTTCTCACTGCAGAGAGAACACGTCATTTAATGAACATTTCTGCACAGGTTTCTTAGCTAGGGCTGAAAGTAGAGGGTATAAATACGTGTTTTCGAGCTGAGAAAAGGGGGAATCAGATACCATTTTGGGCAAAAGGAGGCGGGAACCAAAAAGGGGAAAAGGAAGAGGAATCAAGAGCTTTGAAGGATCAAAAACCTACCCTAGAGACTTTCTCACACTAGATTTGATTTTCTCTCTCTAGCTCTTGTTGTAAAAAATGTTTCATTTTGCTGAGATGCGTATTTGTCTTTTGAATATGTTGAGCTATAACTCCTAATCTAAGATTATGGGAGATGCTATTGTGTAGTTTGAATATTTTGGATTGATTTTTACTTGCTTTTTATGGAAATATCAATGTTCATTCAAATTTGTGCTTATTGCCTCATTTGTTGCTTGATCACCAACAAGTTGAGTATGAGGTTGTAGATGATGCTCGACAAAGATAGTCTAAATAGACCTAAATTTGAGCAGTGTATGCTCCTTCAATATTAAGAAATTAAGTGGGAGATTAATTAATAGGATAGACATATACCCATTAATCATACATAGTCAAATATAGTATCTAAACTTAATTAACTCAGCTGTAATTAATTTTCTGTACACATATAGATAGTTAATGAAGCTAGGCAATTGTGTGATGACTCGACGGAGTATTATGCATGCTTAAGGAACCTAGACTAACATTAGTCCCCATAAAAAGTAGGTAGTTAATTGATCTTGTATCCCAACAAAACAATTGCTGAAATCATAGTCCTAGGCTTTAATTACATTGTTTCCTCACCATAATCTCAGTTTGTAATTCTTAGATTAATTTAGATTTTTAGATTAAACTTTATTTAATTTCAACAAATTGTTTTTTTTAGTGCTTGAATAAAACTTAGCTTGTTATAATTTTAGTAATTAGCAACAAGTAGTAAACCAACTCCTTGAGGGATCAACGAACTCCACTTATCATTATATTACTTGTTGACGACCATGTGCACTTGCATGATTTCCTTGCTAAATTGAGAAAATCTTTAAAGCCAATATCTTAGTAATTTAGCAAGCAACAGTTGGCTTGGAGTCAAATCTCATATAAATGAATTAAGAAGATTCTTTGACTTGCATGCCCCTTGGATGCATGGTGTGAGTGAGCAAACAGTCAGCAAAGTGAAATAGCACTGCATCAACAATAACTACTCTTTTTCACCAATAGTTTTCCATGCATTTTACCAGGTATAAGATGAACCAACTGGGACTGGAAACTTTCTTGTAACATAAGCTGTATATGGGAATGGCAACAGTAAATTTGGCTCATTCCAGTGGGAACTGTAACCTGTCCTCCATTTTTTCTATTTCCTTCTAAGCAGTAGAATAGAAATGAAAATGGGCAATTGCAAAGGAGACCATTAGAAGGTTTCCCACCCCCCAAACAACCTCCTGCTTCAGACTATGTTGTTCAATGCCTTGACAGCAGAAAGATTTGCCCCTCCTCAAAATTCTACATATCTTAACTTTAAGATAATAAACAGAGTAACAGACAAGATGGCTCTAGGGGATATGCCAAACAGTCGACCCTAAAAACTGATACAATTTTTTAAGACAAAAAGAACAACATGTATTATCTCAATATGTTAAAAGAATTAATTATCAAAAAATAATGAGAAAAAAGCTACCCTTTTCTCCACATAAATCCTACATTATTTAGATAAAGGGCCTGCTTGTATTTAATTTCCAGGAATAATTATTAACAAATTCCTTTTGTTCTAAAAGTGTCAATGAAATTTATGTGGATAGCTTTTTATTGAATTCTGACTTTAAGGGATTAATATCTGTTTTGGAGGAATCCGATTCTGGAAAGAAACCTTCAGAAAAAAAACTTCAACATTATTTCAGTAAAGAATTTTCTTAAATTTAAGCAAACCACAAGATACAGTGTTAACAGGCAAAAAACAGAAAGGAAACTGTCATACAGAAAATACTTACACATAAAAAAGGTATGAACAACTAGTACTCTGTGAACTCCAGACACATTCAAAGAAAAACAGGAAACTAAAATGAATAATATACAATGAGACAAGAATTTTGTAATATTTATTTTTTCTTTATGAGATAAAGTAAAATTTTGTTAAAGGATTCATATCTTTATAATACGTAATATTTTCCTTCTCTAAGCTGTCAGAATCACTAGCTCTCATTTCAGTATCTATACATTAGCTATTTTTAGGATTTGTCAAATCAACTCCCATAATTTATTGATGGAATTGCGCACCTTCAGCCAAGATCCTAGCTTCACCTCTGAGGTAGAAGATCCAGGGATGATAAAGCTTCTTAACTCAAATTCGGCATCCATGTTACATACTTCAAGATATTGTTCATTTACTAGTGTTCAACGAGAAACTAATGTATAAATGAGAAAGAGACCATATAGCCATAATAACAAAATGAATAAAGCTCTAAAAATTCTAGGAGAAAAGAGTCAACTAATATGCTTTGAGTGAGATTATCAGAAGCAACCCAAGTATCATCTGTAGTGGCAGGAGAATTGAATGGTTGTTAAGAGATGCAGCCCTCCGCTTGTCAAACCACTTCATTTTCAAGCTCTTGTGCTTTGGTGGAAAGAAAATTAGCAATTTCACATACAACTATTCCAAGTATATCATGTTCTTAAGTTATTTTTTTAAATGTCCTTGACTTTTACCTGAAAATTTTACCCACGATTTGAACCCAATATATTTGTCTTATACCATGCAATTATGTGTCTACTTAGATGTTAGAAGGGGAATCTGACACCATTCTTAAGTTTGTCTTTTACATTTTTACTCAAGATTAAAGAGCAAACTAAGGGCTGATAAAAGAGAAAGTTTATAATTTTCTTCATCTTATGGACTCTTGTAAGTTAAAGTGTAGCATTGAAACTATTCCAATTGAAAAATCAAGTATATTGCCAAGTCTAGAGGGAGTAAACATTTTTTATTTCATTGAGTTTTCATGGCTACTATAATGGGGCCTTGAGGCCAGTTACAAGTTAGACACCAAATGTTACCAAGCATATTCAGTTCACTGTATTCTAACTCTAAAGTACAAATTATCATACATATACACAGTAGTAATGTCCACAATCTTATATTGATTTACAGGATAATGGCATTAGCAGTTTAACATGACATAGTTATGGCAAACATGTCAAATATTATCAAGGGAAACATATCTTATTTTCAGAAATAGATGCTATTTCTCACCTTTAAATCATGTGCCAGCTTTAAATTTTCTTCAAGGTCACCTTTTCTACGAGCCAATTCATTTGAGGCAGAAGTGATGGCTTCATTCTGCTTCTCGTCAATTGCCTGCCACTCAGAATGATGTTACATCAGTTCAAGAGAAATGAGTGCACTTGTCAATCCGTTTTAACAATACAAATAGCTAATGCAGAGAAAAAGTCAAAGGTGGAAAATATAACAAACCATCCGCAAGTCAGAGAATTTCCTCTCCAGTGCACATTTCTCATTCAGCAGCTGCAATTCCTGAGACCATACAGATCAATGCATTTCTTTGTATGTCAATCAGAAATGTTAGAGGTAAAATAACCACAAAATTAGTTGGAAGCATTTGTCTGCAAAAGGAAATGGAAACTAATCTACATGCAAGCAACAGCCTTTAGAAATGTTAAACCTTCACACAGGCTACGGCAATTTGTTCACGAAGATGCTGAATCTCCTCTTTCTGTGCACTAGTTCGCAAATGAAGTTCCTACATAAACTTATGTGAGGAAACCACACAAAGCCTCACCATGAATGTATAATAAAATCCACCAAAAAATGCACAGAAATTCCAGTACCTTAGCCTCTAGGTCTGGGAAATCAAAACTTCTATCTTTTAATTTACTTGGAGCAAGATGTGTTTCAGAGCCATGCCTGCTAATCAAGGCAATATTCCCTTGAAATTAATAACTCAATCTATAATAGTTTATATAGAAAGCTTGTCAAAGGATATCTAAATGAAACAATTTGGACCTGGTTGGTGAACTACCTGTTTAAAAAATCAGAGCTCTGTGCTTGAACCCCATTATTGTTAACCCCATGCATGGAATGCTCACTAGAAGACATCACATTGTCAGTCCAGGTCCTCTTCAAGACAGCCTCTGATTGCACAAGAGCTAACATTTTCCATTATCACTAACAAAATCTCACATTGTACCTCATTTTATTCTCATGTTCCATATTTTATCGTCCAGAAGATAACAAAATTCTTGCATGATACAAGTACCACTTGCAAAGCTGTTGGACAATTAACATGAAATAAAGATATAGCTGGAGTTCAATCCAAGGTAAGGTTATGGGGACACAATTCTTGTATAAGGAGACCAAAGTCAAAAAACATCCAATACACCGGAAACTGATACTTCATGAGCAAATAACAATTTTCTGCTCTTTTTTCCATTTCTAAGTAGGAGTTCAATTAAAAATTAATTTCAATAGTAGGAAAAAAAATTACCTATGAGCAACCATCCTATATGCAGTCCTAGGAAGGATCTCAACCAAAAGGTGAGATGACCATACAATGAGTTCTGGCAATACAACACAATTTTCAAGCAAGAAGAATTTGTCCTTGTGCGATGACTAGAGTGGTAAAGTAGTGGCAATGGTGGCAAGTATGTGGAGTCAAACCTCACAAACAGAAACGAGAGAGACCAAAAAAGAAAATTATATATGAGTTACATTTACAAAAATAAAAAAGAGAGTTAATCATAAAGGTCTTGTAGAATCCTAACTCCCAGCCATTACAATTTAGATTATATTGTAATTGCATTGAACTGCTAATAACCTAAGAATTCAGTTTGGAATTTAGGATCCTTACTGAGAAGCCAACTTCTCACTGGCAAAAGTGGTAGCTCCAAGTCTCCTCTTATTAGTTTGAGAATAAAATATTTCTAAGAAGTTTGTTGAACTTAGACTAACATAACGCTCAACTTCAATGGATACAAATGAGCGACTGCTTAATACTAGGCTTGAAAAAAACAAAAGGGCCAATAAAAGAGGGGGAAAAGGGATTCACAAGGATAAAGTTTATGCTACTACTATTCTTTCTCCCTCATTCCAAGCACATCCTTCCAAATTCAATTCCCTACCAATAATAATTTCACTTCAAACTACACAAGAAAGTTTGCATACTCCCTTTCCTATTCCCATCCATACCGGAGGGCGAACAGAAAGTTCCCGGCCTTAATATTAAAAAACCACAAACTAATATGAAAATTGAATCCAAAACAGCAACAACAATACTACAAATAACTATCTATCTCAAAAAAGTAATTGACACACCCCGAAAAGAATAACATGTCAAGATTAAACTTCATTAGCAGGTTCTACCTCCAACGTTTGGCATTAAACTATTCCTAAACAGCCTTTTAAGTAAAAACTCCGTTTGGCAACCAAGAAAACATAACTGAAAACTAACAAAGATTCATATAGCTTTTACAAGATTCAGTAAGAAAGAAACTTTTCCAATAATCTCGGATCCAAACAAGAATCTAGAAAAAAAAAAAACGAAGTTTCTCTTTTTACCTGTGTTGGATTCAATTTCTTATGGTCTGAGTTCGTTGGAATTAGACAGATGGAGATCCCCGCTGAAGGAATGAAGAAAAGTGTGGGGTTCTTATAGGGAGTGTGGAATTCATAAATTAAAAAACGTAAATCGGAATTAAAAAAAAAAAAAAGTGGGTAGTTTCTAGATGCAAAGAAAATTGGATTTTGTTACGGAGGCTGTTAACAAAGTCAAATGACGGTCGTTGGATTATTTATTTATTTATTTATTTATTGGTGCCATTAGAGTGAGAAAGGGTGTGTGAAAATGACAGTTTAACTTTAGAATTACACAATGGGGGGCGACCAAAGTCTTTGATTTCAATGTGAGGAAATAAAAACAAAATTTTTATTTATTTTATATAAAATTCTAAGAATTAATTAAATGGTTTCTCATTAAGCATGCGAATGAAAAAAAAATCGAGATAAATGAGTTGTTTTTTCTTAAATTAGTCAAAATACATCATGTTGTTATAATTTAAATTTATTTGTAAAATTAAAAAAAATAATGTGAATATAGGCATAAGAACCCTTTTTCCTTTTGTATACAAAATTAACTTGTTTATTTTTTTTTTCAATTATAGAATTTGGTGACAACATTTATTTTATATCATTAATTGCGGGTTCAAAGAAAAAGGGGAAAACCTACTTTTTGTGTGTGGTTTCATGGGTGTAATGAATCTCAGCACCAATAAGGTGCCATGAATTTAAGGCTCATTATTAAAGTTTCCTAACATAAATATAGTTGTAAAGTTTATAAGTTTGATTGTTGATGCATAAGATAATAATTTGTAATTAAATTAAGAAGGAAATGAAGCACAGAATAGGGGTTAGAAACATTGAATAAATGGTGGGATGTTATCCCTTCATATGTTGTTAATAGCAATATCCAAGTGAGTCCCATCCAAGGATATTGCTTAGATAATGGGATCATGACTTTGAAGGAGCTTCTTTCCCTTTCTCCTAATTCCCTTTCTCCTTCCGGTGTTGACAGGGAAAAAGTATTCCATGTGAAAAAGCATAATTAGCCAAAGTGGATGGGTCTACACTTCACATCACATTATTTCTTTTTTTCTTTTTAACAAAATAAAGAAGGAGAAATGATATAAAATGATTGATACTATTGCCTTGAATGTGCTCATGTGGTCTCAAGCTGCCTTTTGCTTTGGAGGTATAAAATTTGTGGCCTTTTTGAATGTGAAACTTGGTTTTAGATTCTTTTATATAAAACACTTTTAAGGTAGACAAAGTCAAACATTCTCATCGAAATTACAATTTTTCCATCATAACTTTCAAATCACAATTTTTCCATGGTAATTTTCGACAATAATATCATTGCCCAACTTGGGCTAACATATATCTTATAATATAGTATTTAAGTTAAAGTATAGATGAACTTGGTGGCAACACTTGATTGGAGGACATGTTGGGTTAAGTTGAAGCATAGATGAACTTGGTGGCCACACTTGATTGGAGGACATGTGGGGTCTTTTGGTCAAAATATTTGGTGAGTGTGAGAGAAAGGAATGGGAGAGACTAGCGGTAGAGAGGGAGGAGAAGCCGTGGGGAGGGGAGGGGAATTAGAAATTTAGTTTAATACCAAAGTTTTATCCCTAGAGAATGTAAGATTTTGAGGATGAAGAAGAAGATTGCAAGATTGGGAAAATTATTGTGTTGTATTGAAGTAGCAAATGGCAGTTACAATGAGGAATTAGAAGATAAAAAAATTCCCTATCTTGGGGCTACCTTAATGTATCTCAAAATTCTATAAACCGCCTACAAATGGTAGTGGCTTGACTTGTCCATGAATTAAGCTAATGTTTGAACTGAGTAAGCAATGTATGGCCTAATAAAAGCAATTTACCAATCAATTATTAAAAAAATAGTGATATTTCATAAGGCTACTATCCCACATTATTTAGGCACAAAAGATGTTAGTGCCTTATATAAGCAAACTCATTATATGCTTGTTGTAAGCAAGAAAAGAAAGTGACTTGTGTGTACACAAGATCGGGCCAAGCTTTGAGAAATGCAGCTTCTCCTTTTGTGTCCAAAGTGATATTTTGTACCTTGATAATCTTAGAGACTAATTAATTTGCCATTATAAATATTAAATAACTTAATAAAATAAATTGACTTAATTTGGTTACTGATTTTATTTATTTTCATGATTTTTTTTTATTTTCTATAATGTATCTTTCTTGATTCTTTTCTATCCTCAACATTAGAGTCATTCAAAACAAACCTCTCAATTCTTCCTCTTCTTTGCTTTCTGATTTTCTGCATTCATTTTCTTTGCTTCATACTGAATCATTTGCCATTATAAATAGTACATAACATTATAAAATAAATTGACTTGATTTGGTAACTAATTTTATTTATAACATATTTTCATATTATTTTGCTTATTTTTTGCAACGTATCCTTCCTCATTCTTTTCTATCCTCTAATTTCCTGCCTTCCTTTTCTTTGCTTCTTCTGCTAGGTTATTTCTTAATTTTAATTTCATATTGTTCCTAATATCTTGATAGTTTGTGCAAACTAATTAAGAAAAATCTGTTAAATCCTGAAGATAACCGCTACAATCCTTTTGCATAAAGTATAAATATAAATCTCACATCATAGAGATATGCTCCCAGCGGGTAAAGTCATAAGTCCCACATTGAAAAGAAACTCCCAACAGGGAGTCAAGGGAGGATGTCATAGTTCAAGTAAAGGAAGCCATGATTCCCAAATCGGTTATGTACTAAAGTGATACTACGCATATAAGAGTTCACACCACTTTCAACTTATGAGGCGCCTTTTGTGGGACAAAATCATAAATCTAACGAATTAAAGTGGACAATACCTCATAGGAATTGATCTGGATTTTGATAGTTGGTATTAGAGCGGATTATGGGACCATGTGAATCCCATATTGTAAAGATATGCTTCCACTAGGTAAAATCATAAGTCCCACATCAAAGAGAAATTCACAGCGGAAAGTTGAGGGATGATGTCATGGTTCTATAGAGGGGAGCTGATAATTCTATTTTATAAAATTATTTTAATTCTATTTTATAAAATTATTTTAATTCTATTTTATAAAATTATTTTAATTCAATTTTGTTATTAAATATTAACTAAGTCCTTAATTTTTAATTATAATTTAGTTATTTTTAGATGTTTTTATAATTAGTTTATTTTTAAATGAGTTATTTTAATTTTAAGTTTATTTCCTTTAATTTGGTTATTATTTATATGTTTTTATGTTTTTGTAAGAATTAAAGTAATTGAGCTTAATTTTGAAAAGTAAGGTGTTGAAAGACCTAAAAATCTGTTTACATATGTTCTACATCGAAGATAAAGAAAATCACATTGGAAGATGACTGGGTGTATTATTACAAGAATGACAATTTTAAGGTTGACAATTGATATTTGGGCCTTTCATTCAACGTTTAAACCCAACTAAATCAATAGATTAACTTACGGAATTATAGGTTAAGTTTGTTAGTGTAAATAAATTATTTTTAAGAGACATTAAGGGAGAGAACTTTTAAAGATTCAAGCTGCGAAAAATTGAGGCAGAAACTCAAGAAACAAGTTGCAATCAATCGTACTGTTTTCTTCCTTAGCTTTTATTTTTCTTATTGCTCTCAATAGTTGAATTTTATATAATATTATTTGTCTTTGTAATTATGAGTAGCTAATTTTCTTTTTCTAGGATTACAATTGACTCACATGTAATCTAAATTTTTAATCTCTTTCTTGCTTATCTTTAATGGGATTTGAATTGTTTATTCCAATTTGTTGTTAATGTTTTTAATTGTTTGATCATCAATTAATTGATTTAGGAACCTAAACAAACTTGAGAAGGGGAGTTTAGTGTAAACTAAAATTAGGATCACATAAGATCATATTAATTGATTAATGTATAAGACAAGAATATACTTATAGGCCACATGTAGCCAAAGTTAGAGCCTAAACTTAATGAGACTATTTTAATTTTAATTCACATAGAGATATAGTGTTTTGATTAAAATAGATATCTTATAAGACGAGTTGAGAGACCCTTATAAATAATTGAAAACTTTAAGTTAGTAATTTAACACATTAAAATAAGTTAAGGAAGAGAGATAAGATTTAAATGGAGTCTGAGGGATATTATAATCCTAGGCTTGTTTGATTTTATTTTCACCCTATTATCTTTTTGCTTTAATTTTCAATTATATTAGTTTTAATTGAGTAATTTTTAATTTAATTAGAATTCAGATTTTAATTATTTGAATAAAACTAAATTGTTTTAATTTTAGTACTTAGTAATTTTAGTACTAAGTATATTGATGCACTTCTACCCAAATATGAAGTTAAACATAAAATTGCAACTATGTATCATCTTCAAACTAATGGCCAAGGGGAAGTATCTAATAGAGAAATCAAGAGGATTTTGGAGAAAATGGTGTGTCCCACAAGAAAAGATTGCACAAGAAGATTGGATGATGCACTATGGGCATATCGAACTACTTACAAGACCCTAATTAGCATTTCTCCATACAAGTTGGTCTTTGGCAAATCTTATCACTTACTAGTGGAATTTGAGCTCAATGCTTATTGGGCTATGGAGAAGTTAAACTTTGATTTACAAGTACTGGGTGAGCAAAGGTTGTTGCAATTAAATGAACTTGCTAAATTTCGCCTTCAAGCTTAGGAGAATGCCAAACTTTATAAAGAGAAAACAAAGCAATGACATGATAAGAAGATAGTGGAACGAAACTTTAAGTAGGGTCAATTAGTGTTAATTTATATTTCTTGCTTGAAATTATTTCTAGGGAAGCTCAAATCAAGGTGGTATAGTCCTTTCATTGTCAATGAAATATTTCCACATTGAGTAATTGAAGTTTAGGGAATAGATGGTCAAAAATTCAAAGTCAATGGATAAAGATTGAAGCATTATTGGGAAGGCAAAATTGATCACCAAAAGTTCTCAATGCACTTGCTTGGCATGGCCTAAAGTCCAAGTTAATCCAATTGAAGACTATAAATGAAGTGCTTCTTGGGAGGCAACCCAAGCTCCTCAACTTTACTCATTTTAGTCTTTATTTTATTCAATTTTTAAGTTACAATTTATTTCTTTTGATTTATTTTTTTATTATTCTAATTAGTTTATGTTTCCTTTTGCAAGTGTTTGTTTTTTACAAATAAAAAAATTTT